ACCCTGGTGTCCATTGAATTATCTCGGATGACACGATTGCTATTTGTTTTCGTGTATTAATTGTATGATTCCCAAAAGTCCTTTGGGAGGTTTGAAATTCAGACGAGAAAATACTACTCACATGGGAGATCTCGAGAAAGTATAGAATCATCTCCCCCTTCTTTTTAATACCAAATAGTAAGTCTATTTAATTTTGTAGTAATATTTTTAATTGCTTTTTTTAGATAAATGAAATGCCTTTTTTTGGCATTTTTCACATTTTGAGTATAATGAGCTCGATAATCCGTATTATTGAAGCGTGTTATATTGAGTAAATTTTGTATTATTAACAGTAGTACTTTTAAAATTAAACACCTTTTCATTTTTATTGACTCAATTTTTGAACAGTTTCAGTTCAATTTTATATTATATAAGATCGGATAGATATGTTTTATAGATTAGTTCATGAAATCATTTACCTACATAGTTATTGGATATTTTTCATTCTTTAACTTACACGATACATGAATATTAGTTTATTTTTGGGTGTGGATAACGGTGGGGGATATGTTAAGAAAATTATAGTGGATAATATATTAGTACTTAAGTAGTTTATTCAATTAAAGAAATAAAAATAAAAATAAAAATATTATCATCCTTTTTGTCTGTATGTACCATAAACTTTAAGACATTAGCTTACATTTACGGACATAACGGGGTTTATGCAGAGGATTGAGTAAAATTATTTCGTTTTTCGCTTAAAAGTATTTGAAAAATTGCCACTCAAAAAACTAATGTATATGAAAGTATTGGATTCTAAATTATGTGTTCATGGTCTTATTCATTAAATATGTGCAACTGATAATTAAACTATAATTTTTATAATTTTTATTACAATAATTAAATGCTAACTTATAAATAATAAATATAATAAATAGATCCTTTATATGATTTATTTTTTAAAAAGTATTTTGTACAGCTGTATAATTTAATATAAAAATTACTTTTATATACTTTTTTTAAAAATATACTCTAGGCATGATAGATTTAGATTTAAGAAAAATATAATGTTCACAAAATTTCAATATTTATTATTATAACTTGTGCACACTTAATATTTTAATAATTTTAATGAGATTATTTTACATTATGATATTACCATAGATTATATAAAATTATTTAATCCGTTATAAGAGTATTACCTTAAATCGTATACAATCACAGATATCTATATAATTATAGTATAGTATACATCTCTGTGTATACAATATGATATACCTATATGTTATAATGATATAATTACCGAGGTTCTTATTAATTAAATGCCATATGTCGAATTTATATATGTTAAAACACTTTTAACAAAAATAAAACAAGATAGTAACTACTGTTACCAATACATCCAAAGTAAATATCATATTCGTTTGCTTTAATTTTTCGTAAATAAAAGATTACTAGAGAATTTTAATTTTATAAATAACATTACACAGTTGTTAATTTACTTATTATAAATACTGTTATTATACATTAAAATTTAATTTAATTATTTAATCATCCTACGTTGACGACAATGGTTAATTAATGATAATAATTCATAGATGTTTCATATTTATCACAGCGTGATTTAAACAAACTATAATAAAACAAATGTTACAACATATTTAATATATTAATCTTAAATAATGTAAAAAGCTGTCAAAATTAAAAATTGATCAAGCACAAATAAATAATACAAAAAACATAAGATTTTATTACGGGAAATTACTACGATAAATTTTGAATAATTGTATAACCGTGCCCTTTATGATTATAACTAATGTCATTACATTGACACGATGTGCTGTTCATTGAATTGGGGATTGGCAACAATAAATTAATATTGATTGTAACAATTCATCCAACTATGTCATTATAAATTGGTAAATCTTTGATGAAAATATAATGAAAGTAATTTTTCGGTATTGTATATCATATTACAACATTAAATTATTAAAAGGGCTCTAAATATTTTGTAAGTATTTATTTATTTTTTTAAAGTTACTTATACACGTATTTATAAATTATTTTATCTTTGCTTGAATCGTGTTTGTCATTAATTATTTGTTGTATAAGTTGCGTAAAATTTGAAAAATGTTTTGAACATCAATGACTTTAAACTCATTATAATTTTTCGTAATAAATATTTTAAACGTAAGATAAAAATACCGGTTAATCGATAATATTGCAGTTTGTAAGCATTTATTACTCATGCATATATATATTTACATATAGTAGTCAGTGTTGATAATCTCAATTAAATCATTTTTTTAAATTATGGTTTTTTGGCTGGTACCGAATTGGTTCCCGCCTGAAAAAGGTATTTTATTAGGTATAGCCAAATTGGTTCCCGTTTGAAAAAGGTATATTATTAGGTATAGCCAAATTGGTTCCCGTTTAATTATACATAAATTTAAATGTAATTATACATTTTCCTTTTTAATTTTATAGGCTTAGGACTGTCAACCTAAAAGTACGTTTGATTAATAATGTGCGTTAATGTGTGTTAAAAAAAAATGATAAAATATATACAATTTTAAATCATTGATTTGGAAGTCAACTAGTCATCACTTAGGTATACAAAATACAAATAATAAAATATAATAAATACAATTTAAAACCACTGATTTGCAAATTTGAAGCTAACTTTCTTTAAATATTCAATTCTCGTAATTTTCTCATTAATGTCATACAATTTTTCAAGTATTTGTTATTTCTTTCCTATTTGCTTGTAATTTGCTAGTCTCTAGTAATCTATAGTCTTCTATATTTCTATACTTTATCTTATAGGTATAATAATTATGACTATTATTTTGTCATAAATATAGTTTTTAAAATTTTGCTTTTTTGCTCTTTATGCACTGGCCCGCTGGATTTTAATTTTTAATATTGTAAGTAAATTATTTTAAAAATTAAAATTGTCCTTATTTTACCTGTACACAAACGGGAACCAATTCAGCTATACCTAATAAAATGCCTTTTTTAAACGGGAACCGATTCAGCTATACCTTATAAAATACCTTTTTCAAACGGAAACCAATTCGGTTACTCCCTTTTGTATATTATACATAAAATGTTATACGTATATTATGAATATACATAATAAATTTGAATTAAATAGTAAAGAAATATTAAGTAAATGTTTATGATTGTATATTTTTATTCTCGTGCAGTTGTGTACGTGTATTATTTATATATTTAAAAACGGAATTAAATTTTAAAATGTATTTAATTTTTTTATTAGAAATACAAATATTTTATTATACTTTAGTAATTTACTAGTTCATACTAATGACTCGATAATAATATAGTTAATGTATAGTATATTATATTTAATGAAACTATTGGACTGAAAAATAATAAAATGAATTCTAATTAAAAAAATTTTGAGGTTGATAACATTAAAACTATGTGTTTTTTTAGTAAGTATCTGATAACATTTTTTAAACGAAAACAAATTTTAAATTTTACAATGATTTTCCAGACAAGAACCTTTATTCATTTTTATATTTTTATATATATTATATTTATATTCTTATATTCATTTTATTAGTAATGTTTGATAATTTTTAATACACAATTTATGTATTTAAAAATATTTTGTTATTATAAACATGTATTTATAAAGTGGACATTTTATTACTATTTAATATATACATTTTTTGATCGTGCATATTAAACATTAAAAACGAGTAATAAAATTTAATACATATGGATAATTCATAAATAAAAAAGTAATTTAGTATTTATACTCAATATGATAATATTAAAAAAATAAATATAGTTAATATTTTGATTATATAAATTACCATTTGTGTTTAATTGGTTGCCAACTAGTCCTGTCCATCATAAAAAGTGTATATTAGTTATCAGATTGATATTGAATCCTTCAATTTGAAGTACATTATAATCATCTGCTTATCTAAATAAAAAAGTATTAATTAAAAAAGAACTATACTATTCTAATGAGTGAAGTATGGGAAAACATAGTTTGTATTTAAATTGAACATGGCATAATGTAGCTGTTTGTTCCCGTATTTAATTAGCTCTGATGGTATGCTGTCTGAACCAGGTGCCTTCCATTTTTTTAGGCTAGCTATCGCTTCGCTTCGCTTTATCAGTTTCCTCTTGAGTTACTTTATTCAACAGTTATTCGGCTTTTTGGAAGGTTGTACTTACTGTTGGATTTAGTGGTAACTCCGCATTCAAAAATTCTTTGAAGTATTCTTCCCGCCTTATAGCTTTTAGCTATGGTTCCATAATTATTTCTCCATCACGATTTTTAATAACTTTCAAGTTTGGATTTAACGATTTATATTGCCTGATGGATCTGAAGAAATTCCTTATACTACTTTGCGAACGGTCTTTTTCAGCTTCCTGTAGTATACCGTTTAAGAAGTTTCTTTTTTCTCTTTGTATAATTCTCTTGCAATTTTTTCTCTTTATTCCATATATTTTTTTCGTATTTGCGTCATTAAATGTTACGTAGTTATTCCGAGCCATACGTCGTTTTTCTATCGCTTCTCGGCATTTCTCGTTATATCATTTTTTCTTCCCATTTTTTAGTCTACCAATTACTTGTTCTGCGACTTTTTAATAGTTTTACTTATCTTGCTTATTCTTTCTCTATATCCTCTTCTTCAATGTTCTCAACATGTTCTCTCATCTTAACTGAATAATCTTGTTGGATTTTGTCATCCTTCAGGTGCTCCAAATTATACGGTACATTATTTTTGCTCCCCAGTCGTTTCTGACTTTGTAATTTTAGTTTGAATTTCGCTACGACTAGAAAATAGTCCGTGTCACAGTCCGCTCCCCTATAACTACGTACGTCTCTAATGCATGAGCAGAACCTTTTTTTATTGGATGAAAACGTGATCTATCTGGTTAATTGTAACACCATCTGGTGATTTCTATGTACCTTTATAGATTTTCTTATGTGGCAACGTTGTGCTACTTATTATCATGTCTTTTCCTGTCGTGAATTATATTAGCCTAAGCCCATTTCCATTGCTTGTATCATGAAGACTTTCTTTCCCTAATGTATGGGAAAACTGAGTTTCTCTTCCATATTTAGCGTTAAAGACGCCCAATATCTTAATTGCATTCCCTGGCAAATTGTCATATGCTTGGATCAGGTCCTCATAGAAGATGTCCTTTGTATCCTCGTCAGCTGATTCCGTTGGTGCATATGTGCATATCAAGACAATATTTATAGGTGCAGTGTCAATTTTTAGTACCGCTAATCTCTCTAATATAGGGTTGAATTCCTTTATGTACGGTTCTATGGTTTCATGTACGACAAATCCACACCCATTCTGGTATCTCTCTTCCATTCCTGAGAAGTATATAATATACCTTCTTTCTTTTAGCTGTCCTTTTCCAGCCCACCTTACTTCTTGAATACCTGCTACTTTGATTTTATATACGTTCAATACTTCTACTAGGTTTTGACATATTCCAGTTCTAAAAAGAAATATTATATTCCAAGTCGCTATCTTAAAGTCCATTATCCGTTTTCCGTGTCCAATCTGTAATCCGTTTCTCTATGTCCGAAGCTGATTTAGTGATAGTGTCATAACAATATATTTTTTATCGAGGTAGGGTTGTTAGCCCTACGCTCAACCCCCAATCTGGAGGACCAGACTACCCCAATCAATTAAGGTCAGTGGAAGGCTACTGCAGAGCACTGAACAGGAGTGCTCTGGGCCATGAGGAGGCCATTTTACGGACGCCACGCCTCTGGCTGTGGAAATATGAAATCTCTTTTGGATCAACTTGTTCATAATATAATTTTGTTTTCGTCTTAGTTTAGCAATAATTGAGAAAATCAATTTGATAATATTTCTAGAACCAATATTCTTATTAGGATTAAAAAGGAAATAATTTAAATGCAAGAATGTCTAACGAAATACGAATATTACTTTATTTTGTACGTACGATAATCGATAATCGTTTTCAGCAAAATCGTGGTATTTAATATTCTTATTAGTGTTTCATTTTCCAAGATAACGTACTTGAATATTATTTCTATGAACTTTAATCTTGAATAAATTTAATGACACGACGGGACAGACAATAATTATCAATGATAATTACATAAGACAATTTATTTTCTTCAAATTATTTTCGTGTTGTCATTTATACTTTGGTTATTGAACACCAATTTCATCTTCATCAATTATCATTGAATACATAATTGCAGAAAACGTATAAAAATCCATGTTGGCATCATCATTATACTAACGTATACACATAAGATTTATACAATAACAATTTGTTATATTTTTTGTACAAACTAAACATACCAAGTGTTATGTATGTAATATAAATATAACGTGTATAAGCAAAGATATAGAAGAATGTTTCTATTAATTGAATTCTTCTTTTATCTATGTGTATAAGATATACTATAACCATTTTTCCAGTAAACATCCTATATCATTTGAGTATATTGTAATACTGACTTTTATTTTGATTATTCTACTCTTTTGTTGATATTTTTTTCTCGTAATTATATAATGCATTATATAACTGTTATATTATATTTTACGTAAATATTATATACCTATCTGCTGGTATTGTTTGAGGTAAGTAGGTATTGTAAAAATCAAATGTATGTACACATCGTATTATAGAAGTAGTAAATTGAAACGTACACGCAAACAAAATGTTTGAACGTTTGCCACATCCTAAAAAAATTGAATTAATGCCATATTGTGTCGTTAAAAATTAATTATTCTTAGCATAACATTAAAAGAATGATAAACAAATATTGAACATGGTAATTGTATTTAACGTGCATCATCATTAGACGTGCAATTACAGCTTATCAACTATTAAACAATAAACAGTTATCTACAGGTATAACAATTAAGAACAAACAACGCAAACCATTATTATATTCCAATTAAAAATTAAAAAATATTAAAATTGTAATAACATTCACTTTCAAGTGTTCTACTAATTTTATAAAGATAGATATTTCAATGTATATCGAACGTTTGTTTTGAACGATTGTCTCGATTGTCTTTTTATCATTATTCATTCTTTATACATTATCAAAGTATTATAACGAAAATAACACTATACAGACCCATCTAAAAAGGATTATAAAATGTGTATAAAAATTTTTCTATATAAATTCTAATTTAAACATGTTATGTAGAATTTGTCTAATAATAGATCATTTTATTTAGTTCTACCATGATATTTCTATATGTTTCATCCATGTAGATGCCAAGTAGCTAGAAAGTGAAAATAGTGGATTTCGCCGTGTTTTTAAAAAAATTTATTGCTTAATGACTGTGGCAAATTTTCAATACTATCAACAAGTATGTAAGTAACAATCATGCTTTTCATATACCATCAATAAAATGTGTTTTAAAAATATAAAAATTAAATTAGAATGTTGGGTGTGGATAATTAGTTGGATATAAAAATAACTTGTTACACATGATTGTTATTCAATACATAGGCATTCATTATGCAAATATTTTTTGAAATTATGTAATTTAGTGGTTTAAATGTATAAATGATACGAAAAGTATATGGATTATAAAATTATATTTTTTTATTGTCAAACTTTTGTATTAAATAAATATGCTTCAACAGCAAAGTTTCAAGCAGAAAATTTTTTTAGATATGAATTTTATTATGTTTTTTTATTATTTTCAAATTGTATTAATCAAGAAAAATATATTACATTTCGTACAGCAAGCGTTTATATTTATTTGTATAACACAAGTGTATTTGTGTATATATATATTTTTTTTTTTGCAAAGCTATAAATCGGAATATTTTACCTGTACTTATTCTGATTATAGCGGCTTTAAATTGAAAAATAAAAAAATTCATTATATTTAAGAATATAGATAGTTGTATTTTTTTTACAATACTTGATATTTATTTATGCTTTAATATATTATACTAGCCTTCGCTCTTTTAAATAAAGTTTCATAGTCACTTTTCAGTTTAAATAATCAAACAACACTAGGAACTAGTAATATCCACAAAAAAGATCTCGTTCAAGTATAGTTTGTCTAATCAAACAGTCCTTTCTACTTATGTTTTAAAATATTTTTGTAAATAAATAATTTTAAAATATTCAAAAATATTACACTTAAAAGAAATATTATATGTACTTATAAATTTATAATATTATTTATACCTCAGTTTGTTTATAGAAGTGTTTTTAACCGGTTTATCATCATGGACCATTTAGATAGCTTTTTGATAGTCACTAATTATCTTTTATTTAAAAACTCTTACAAATTCTTACAACTGTTAAACTTTACAGCTATGGTAAAAATTACTTTAATAGAAACCTGGGCTCCTAGATCCATACATTCTATATCTGCCCTCTTTTATTCATAAATATATTATACATAATTAAATGTTCATTGATAGTTGAAAGTGCGCTGTTCAATAAAATGATTACAATATATTTTTTATATACGACCTAAACACAGTGAATTTTTAACTGATTAGTATTTAAAAAAATATGAAAATCATTATATGTTATTTCAGCTCATTAATTTTAAATATTTATCTTGGGGAAATTACTTGTGCTTCTACAACGAATATTTTATATTGTAATTTAAATTGTAATGGTATTTTAATACTGTAAGCATTTACATAATTAAATCTAATTATTCATTAAATAATGTACAGAGCGATTATTTTCTAGTTTTTGGTTCAAAACGAACATTTTTTATCAAATTAGTTTTATAACATCGTTTATTCTTATACAACTTCGAAATGGTGAGTTTTAATCTGACAATCAATTACATACAAAGTATTACTTAAACACTTGACTACTAAATAGACGAGACGAAAAGTGTATTATATCACTATTATTTATTATTATATTTCAAAACTTTACGGAAATGAAAATTAGATATGAACTTAATGAATCGACGAGGAAAAAAATCGTCCTGTATATAGGGTGTGCTGTCTTAACGTTCGCAGCTGCGCTAACTTATAATTATCGGTTATAATAAGAAAATGTATAATGATTATTTCACTTAAAAATCCGTCCAGCAGTCCACATTTAGAAAAGTTGACCTGCTGCTGTTGCTGCATGTAGCAAAGGATCAAGGTCAGTTTGGGTGTGTCATGCAAGCAAATATACTTGCCCCCGTAACCGGATTTTCATATTTTACTTCTTATACAACAATATAAAATGGACGGTTTGCGTGCGTGCGTGTATATGTGTATTTGTGTGTGAGCGTGTGCATATGACCTAATGTCATACCTAGACAATAATCGGAATAATTGCAAGCTGTAATAATTGCACTGTAAATGCAACGGTGTCACATATAGATCCTTAATAATGATCGGGAGGAAGGTAATCTAGAACCATCACATTATACTATTATACTGTTGGGTTATAGGATTTTCTACTTCAGTTGACAATTGTCAATCAGGATGTAAACCAACCGTCACGTAGGCACATATTATTATGTGTATACCGACGTGTTATTCGTTCGAAAGTGAAATTAATTATTCGTACAACGCTCTTGGATATGGGCCACTGCAGACGCTATATAGATAGCAATTATAGTAGTTCGACCATTAGTAATGATTAATGAATCAATAATGATTATGAAAAATCAACAGGTACTCTTTTATTTTAGCTCTCCGTTTTGATATTGATCGGTGTTTCTCACCTTCCAGTACACCTCTCACTAAATGCATTAACATAATTTCATAACTATTTATTATTTTATTTTACTTTTAGAGTACCTACTTATTTATGACTTAATATAAAATATAGTACGTAAATTAATATAAATTAGCAGAATTAGGAATTGAACATTGCGATTTAATATTTTTTTTATCAATATGTTTGCACATTCATATATTATATTTACGGTATTAGTTTTCATTGTTGAAACTAGTATTAAATAAACGTGATTAAATAGAAGATAAGATCAATATAGTATGTACGGTTTATAAATATTATAAATAGTTGCCCATGATGTTTTATATGGTTGAGAATGTAAAATATTTTTGTTTCTAATTTAACTATCTTGAACAATATTTGACACACGTTTAAGAACAGTTATAATATCGTTTAGTATTATCTCCAAAATAACTAATATTCTTTAAAAAATTATGTATCAAATAATCTATAATTAGTTATTTTGATTTATTTAAATTCAAATTTCACATCCTAGACGGAAACAATATATCGATAGAGCTTTAATAAATCAGACAACCGGTCAAAATTAAAAATAATTCTAAAATGATTTAAGTATCACTTTTTAATTGCATTGTACATAATGATCAGATTTACGCTTATATAGTGTGAAATGCAATTTGTATTGTGAATTAAAATAAATTGTAGTATTGAATCATATTGTAAATTAAACAACTATTCATAAGAGTTAAAAAATAAATAAATAATTGAATTTGTTTTTAATTGGACATTAAAACAAAGTCACGATCCCCTCGAAGACATTAATGTAATGTAATATGACATATTCTAGACCGTGAGGTATTTCAC